CTCAGCAAGAAATTAAACATTATTTAAAATTTTTGAAGAAACAGGTGTATCTTTGCATCTGTTTTCAACAGAGAAGCAAGTAATAACACAGGTTATCAAAAAAGAATCAGTGCAAATATTCCAAATGAAAAGTTAAAAGAACCGCATGCAGATAAAATTCATATTTAATATAATGAGACCATATGACAACTGTGAAAAGACATGCAACCTTATTAACTTGCTACAGTTGTACATCAGTGTAGAACCCTTAGAAAAAGATTACACATAGACCAGAGCCACAGATGACAAAAGTGTCTACATAACCTCCCCAAAAATAATCCTTCAAGAAACTAAAATATGAAAAAGATTCAAGAAGCCACTTGTAAAGGTATATTTTACTACGGCAAAGCAACTCAAGAACAGTTTTTTGCCTAAGGGAAGAAAGATTCTAATGAAAGACTTTCTGAAGGAAACTGGCTCATATCCACTTTACATTTAAGGAAAACCACAAAAATGTCCATGCAATGAGCCATTTGCCTGGAATCAAACCAAGGTTGAATTACCAAAGTTCAGTGAATTTTACCACTTGGACGCTAGTGGGTTTAAGATGCTACTTGATGACTGATGCCCATATGAATAAATTGGATAAACCAGTTCATGCTATATGCAAAGAGGATCACATGACCAATTATAGGTCCTATATTTATATAAAACTCAACATCTAGTCTGAAATATGGCCACCACTCCCTCAAAAGCCATCTTATATAGACAGCAATACCATATTTAGCCATATCAATCAAAGGAATAGAACTGCTCGAGCAGCAATTTTGGCTTTTGATGGCACTTGTGAATCGTATTTTTGAATTTTATTACCATCACTGACAACCTAGAATGATCCATAATGATTTTAAGAAGGCAACTGCCACCCTACATAAGCTGAAAATTGCATTCAAGGTGATGTGATAAATAATCAAGGTGTGGCTGCTGCACTTTCATACAGACTACAGAATTTTTTTTTTTTTTCTTCCATTAAATTCATTTTTGCAACATTTAAGGATTGAAACCACAAGCCACTAAATTTGGTCATTTCTTGCACAGCATGACTGAAACGAGACACACCTCAGCATGATGGATTAAAACGAGACACACCTCAAAGCCTGTGATAATGTTAACATCTCAAATCATAGGTGGCATGTTAATTTATATCAAATCCAGTGACAAGTTGCTGCCTTAGTCTCTTCCAAAATTATGGATGTTCAAGCAGTTATTGAAAACACACATGCAAAGGCTTTGATTATTAGTTTAGCTTATTCAAATTATGGCAAAGCACACTAGGGCTATCTACCTAAGGAGAGGGATGCCTTCGTGGAGGACTTTCTAAGGGAAACTGGCTCGTAAACACATTACACATGGGGAAAACCACAAAAATGCCCATGCAGCCAGCCCGTTCGTGGGATTCGAACCTCGGACCGAACTACCAGGGTTCAGTGACTTTACCGCTTGCCCGCTGGTGGGCCCTGGCTTTGATTATTATTTCTGCTTATAATAACAACATGTGCTTAAGCATCAGAAAAAAAGGAAAGCTACTTTCCAGCCAAAAGTAGAAACTTATGGAAATATTTTAGTGATTATGTTATGCACAATAGAAATAGAGTTTGGAGTCCGGGTAAACCTATTTTGTTTACAAATAACTTCAGATCAGATACACTGGATGTGTTAGTGATAGTCTTCAAAGATCAAATTTGGATACTGCAAAGGACATTTACTCTATAACACTTTGCAACTTTCAAAGAAAGCATTACAACGACTAACTAAAAAAAAAAAATCTAGTACGCACTATAAAAGCAAAACCATTATTACCAACTTATGCTGATATCAATCTTATTAACTGTTTTAGTAAAATGAGGCTTACCACAAATAAAAAAATAGCCTATAATCTCATTCTCCAAAGAAACAGTACTAAGCTAGTTAAAAGAAAAAAACAGATTCAGAAAACCTATTTTGTAAAACAAATTATTGACAAAAAAGAAATCAGGCGAAATGCCTAATCTACACAGAAAACAAAACGAACAAACAGGTAAACTCACTTTCCACTACAGAGAGAGAGAAAGAGAATCATCAAGAAGATATGAAACGGCTAATTAAACAAAAATGATCACATTGGACCCATTTGTAGAAATAATGGACCAGTTAGACACAGATGAAAGTAGCAGATGTGAAAGTCAAGATATTAAAGGTAAAAATACAACAAACCTAGGATATCTAAACATGGACATCACTTCTGCACAAATGAAATAGCCAAAAACTTTCTCATATGAGCCTCCAATGAGAAATTAAATGTCACTACATCAAATGAGATAGAAAGTGCTATAAAAAATTTCTACCTCAGAAAAGCAAGTTGCATAGAATAATTTCTAAACAAGGCTCTACAATCTTGACAGGGGGGAAAAAACTACAGTTTTTTAATGCACTATTTTAACATATAATTGCACACATTATATTATATCAGCAACTGAAAAATTAAGATTGAAATGATAAATGTTCAAATAAATAATGAATAACTACATTGAAAAAAAAAAGGCAAAGATCCAACTATTCCCAGCACTAAAAAGCCTATTAGTCACTTTTTACTGCAGGGAAAATTTACAAGAAAGTTATCCAAAAACATATTTATGATTTCAGCACCAAAAACATCATTCTGCTTCAATATTGGTTTAAATTTATAGTCTGGTATTCAACAACACATCACATACTAAAGAGTAGTAGAGATAATATGCAAAAGCCTAAAAAACAGTAAGTTGGCTTTCAATAATTCCACTCTGAAGCATTTTCCTTTATTTTTAAACATAATTTTCTGCATTATTCATAAATTAATATATGCACATTTATTACAAAAATATTCCAACTATAAAATATTTCAGCAAGAAGTAATTAAATAAACTATTCCCTCACAAATAAAAAATTTAAAAAAAATTGGGGGGGAGGGGAATTCTTTTTTAATTTCAAGAAGAAAAAAGTACAACTCATTAACATTCACAAATACCTTTTATCTTTTGATAATCCTGTTACAAATCACAGATATTTTAATAGAACTTCTTGAAATTCTTCTAAAAAAATAACAGTGCAACATTAGTAAATATGAAGAATATTTCCAGATGGCATTTTTTTCATGAGGTGATTTACTAAATTCAAGTAAAAAAAATTTACAGTTCCGTACTTTTTAACAAAACATTTGACTCTGATGTAAGAATCGGAATAGGAAGACATAAGAAAAATGAAAACTGTATTTTCCATTTCCTTACATTCATTTAACGTGTAATAAAATTTTGAATATTTTTTTAAGACAAAGAAAATGCAGAATTCTAGACCTTTTGTTTAAAAATATGCACTTCACTGCTCAACAGCAGATACTTTCAAGATGTTTAGATGAATTGAAATAATACATAATTTGATTACAATTTTACACATAAATTTTCTTGTTTATCTTTAAAAGTTGAGAGTCAGGCTCTTGCAAGTGCATTGGAATTTATATTCCCTATGAATATATACTATACCTGAAAAATGAAAAATGTATGAATTTTAGAGTTATTTAACAAATAAAACACAAACCTTCACAAACACTATCAGGATGAGACATAGCATGGTTTATGGATAACGAAGCACATGATAAATAATTTAATAGAATGCAAAAAAGTGTTGAAAAATTATTTAGCACTTGCATCTGCAATACTTTAGTAAACTGTTTACTAAACACTTATGCCAATGATAAGTAAGCATACAGTAAATTCTGTTGCTGCATGAACTACAGAAACATTAATCTTAAATTATTTTATGTTAGATTTATATCAAACTGCATATTATATTACATAGTACATATGTTTTCTTTTCAACTAGTGATTTATTCCGTATTCTGACAGTAAGTTTAATGTCATTCAATTTCCTTAGTTGATATAACATAATATGTAATTTAACAGCATTAACAATCACATTTACACAAAAGTGAGAATTGGTTACACAAAATTGAGATCTTCCAAAGAAATATTTTATTCAACCCAAACAGTGTTAAGAGAAGTATCAATTACCATCAACACATGAGAATCTTTTTTTTCCATACTTTCATACAAGATCCTTTATAAATCACACCACATGACATATGAAACCTACACTGACACTAAAAGTAAGAATTATACACTGGTTATCATAAATTAAGGAAAAATCACAAAAATAGTGATAACTCCCTAAAAAATAAGCCAAACCGTGTAAAATTTGAATATGTTGCCAAGCAAGAGTAACTGAGTAAAACTCCAATATGCAAATTAGTGGCGCTGCACTCGGAATACGTCATCTGCGAGGAGCATAAAAATCCATGTTTGAGAGCAAGCCCACATATTTCACTGTGACATCAGAAATCTGAGATAGCCCATTCGATTATGATAACCAGTGTACTATGGTCCCACAGCTGAAAAATAAAACAGTAATGCAATACTTACAGGTTTTCCAGTATGTACAAATAGCATGTTTTTTCAATATATACTGTTAAATAAACTTGTGGCAGGAATTGGTGCAAATTTTAGTTCAATATTATGAATGACATAAAAAAGACTTTAATCATTACCATTCTGTTTCTCTATTAGATAATAGTTATAATGACAAGTTCATACAGTGTAAGTGCAATAAATACCTAAAACGTCTTATATATTTTCAGCAAGTACCTATCAGTTTGTAATCAAAGGATATCTAATATATCACTGTCACATGAGTGGAGGGTAGAGGTAGTGCACTTTTCCAAAATTGGTATGTAGCTGAGTTTGATAGCCTTCAAGCATTTTGTCTTAATAAAATGACCCAATCCAAGCTATAAAATATTGAGTAATGGCACGTGGAATTTAACTAATTGCTTAATTTGTTACTTTATATGAACATTTCTTAATTTTTAGTTTGGTGTTTTTTTAGTGCTTGTTTTTTAGTATACCATAAAACTCTTGCATTTAAATTTAGACATATTAAAAGATTCATCTTACCCATGATGGAAAGCGATGCAAAGGTGGTGTTGGAGGTTTCCCACACTTTATTAAAGCAGCATCAGCAAGAGTTGATTCAGATCCATCAACGGTATATAACTCAGAACACTCTTTACTGGGTGTATAAATTTCAGCATAATCATGAATTTCATCATCATCAAAAGAATTATTTTGGTAAGCATTAAGAGTAGAAGCTAGGTTCTCAAGAGCAAGCATATTTTTATCATGGTTAAATTTTTGGTTGCTGACACTCAAACTATCCATTTCTTCTAATTTAGAAGGCATTATTGAACTTGGAGCAGTTAATGGCCGGCATCCATGAGAGCTTCCCAAAACACTTTTTGACAAAAAGTTGTGATTATAAGGTTCATCACTTGGTTCTGAAGGTACAACTAAATTCTCACTCTAGAATTAAAAAATAAATAAATAAATAAAAACATAAATAAAAAAAAATGAAAAATTTGCAAGACAGAAAGAATTCTTGTAACTTTTTATTAAGGTTGCAATAAAAATATTTTTACACATAAAATACAAAATATAAACGAATCATTTTCACTTAAGACATAAAAACAAGAACAAAAATATTATTAATTAAATTAAATTACTGTGCTGCGCACAGCAGCATCAGATTTGTGCAAACTGCAATATTTGATATAATTTTATGCCATAAAATTCGACAAGGAAAATTTTAATATTTTAATCTGAAATAAAAATAATGTTTACAGTAAAATAAGTTCATTTAATTATCTGAGCATACTTAGCTGTGAAATTTAATTACTGTGATTTATAAGTTATATAGCAGCTTAAAAAATAAAAATACATAATTATTATTTTACTTCTGGGAAAGGTATTACTGACAGATACTTCTGCTTCTTGATGAAACCATTGTCTGTTAAAAGTTTAAAAAAATGAAAATGCTTCTCAAAATTAAAAAGTTTAATTATGTTTTAAAGTGTGATATCTTTTAAAGAACTTTTCTTTTTGCAAGGGTACATTACAAAACTTACACATATACCATGATATGCTGTGTATTTTCTCGAATAAAGCACACACAACAGTGTAACAAAGTCTTTTTTTCTTTTTCTAGTTCCTACAATGGCTTCTTGCAGAATTGTACTTTTTTGCTTTTTTCCTACTGCCAAATGTTGATGGTATATAGTTTTTTGATGGAAGTCTGCCAGAGATATGTACACTGGCAAAAAGAAAACAGTGCATCACAGCTCAGCTGGTAGCAAATGAGTTTCTTGCTGAAACATGATAGTGAACCTCCCAAAAAGCTGTAATCAGACATTTGGGAGAAAGAGGACTATATATCCGTACATCTGTTAAGTGCTTCCCAATGTTCAAATGCCATCATACTGCCCATCTGCAATGGTGTCATCAGCTCTGCAATTGGAAATTGAACAGGACTGGGCCTGTGTAATATTCTCAGATGAGAGTAGCTTCAGTCTGTCACTGCCTTGCACAAAACAATTTATCTAGCATGAGTGGTACTGCCTACTGTCCAGAAAATAGCGACCAAAGAGACTGATATGAGATGCAGTATCATGATGTGGGTCAACATCATGATCAATGACCACACGCCCCTTATGTGCTTGCAACTGGGATTACCATAGGCAGATTGATGCATTTTTACTGCCTCATGTTTGCCTTCTCCATGGCGCTTTCCAGGGGCGTAGCTAGAGGGGGGGCAAGAATCCAAGGGGCACCAAACTGATGTTATGACATTTTAGAATTAAATGTTTTCCATCCTTGGCAAGCAATAGGGGGCGCGAAATCTTCAGTTGTCCCTGGGTGCTGAAAGCCCTAGCTACAACTCTGGTGCTTTCAGTTATAAATTTGGGACTTTAGTAGTGCACTCCAGACTATCCAGAACATTTTCTGTATATATTCATGAGCAGCCTAAAATCTCTTCCAAGACGGTTGGATTGTCTACTGATGACCATACTTTTCCGAAATCAGAACCATATGAATCCATGCTCGAGCCAGAACTGCTTGAAATTCATTGTTGGAAAAATGCCGAAGGACAACATATAGTTTCATCGTCACTAGAATCATTATTGGTAAGCTTGTTTTCATAGGAATAATTTGACAAACTATCTAAACACAATTCTTCAACTTCACATTTGTAGTGCAATTTTGGGAACTGACTATAAAAAAAGTCACGCAAGTGTTAAAAAAAAACACATTTCCAAAAACCCACCAATAATAATAATCGCTTGATGATTCATAGAAAATGAGTTTTGCCATCTCTCGCACTTTAACAATAATCCACACAAAATGAGTTTAGTCGTTTACACAAAATGAGTTTAATCATTTCCTGATTAAGATGTGTTAACCTTGCTTTGCCAAACTGCACTTCATGGTAAAACATGCATCAGCTAAATTATTAAAAACTACTACACAGCGCATTTGGGATAGTCTGCCCACAATCTGTTTCTTCAGCCTTGTAGTCGAAGCACTATATGAGCAGTAAAACTAAATCACTATTGCAAAATGAGAACAATAATTTTTAATGTGACAGAAGAGATGGAACAGCTAATAGAAAATGAAATAGGAAAAAAGGAAAAATACCTGGGGCGTTATGTACTTTAGCTATAGCAAGACATAAAAATCACAGTGAAAACAATCTGAGACTGATTCACAAAAACAGAACTTTTAAAAGGAGCTTAAATAGCTTCTGATCTACCAGTGGGGAGGGGGAACCACTGGTATAAAATAGCTGATTTTTGCATACAGATGGCAACTTAAATGACACAAGGATTTTGTGAGGCAAGAAACTGATGGAAAATTATTAGTTACCAAAATTAAATTGAACATAAAGAAAGCAGAAAGAATCTCACCAGTGCACAAATGCAAAAGCCTTTGAAATTTTGCAGAGCAGTGCTCATCAAAGATTAGCCATTGTCCAAATGCAGTAAGTATATAAGAAAAATTAACAATTTGCTTACAGGGGAAAAAAAAAAAAAAAAAAAAACTATCTAAAAAAAAAAAAGCTATTTTTGAGCAATTCAGTAACTATAATGATATTTAGCAACTTTGGGACAATTCAGTAAAAATAATGAATGGCATTAAGATTAAAATCAGTAAGATAAACTTTTTATCTGATGTTATTATATCTGACTTTTCATCTGAACACCTATCATTTGTTTATTATGATTTTTATAAACTACCAGTGCAATCACATTCAGCAGCAACCACTACATGAAATTCACAATACTGATACTAAGTTCCCCCCCCCAAAGTAAATAAATCGCATATTTATACAGTACAAAGTCTTTAATCTGGACGTCCACAATCCGGAATGGTCTATATAATCCGGACCTCAAAGCTACAAACTTTCTGCGCATGCGCATATGCATAATACGTTTACGCATGCGTGTTTAATGTATAACTGACGGTATAAGCAAGGCTAAAATTATCTATTTCAGTTAATGTTGCAGATTGCATTGTTAATTAATCTTCTAATTGGATCTGGCTTATTATTCTTTGCAGACTGTTAGAGCATTTTATAAAAAGTAAGCTTGAACTTTCGATTATGTCAAAAAGAGTTTCCGATTCTGGAACTGCCAAAGTATCTACAAAGCGAAAGCATGTTTCGATGTCCATCAAACAAAAAGTGAAATTACTGCAAAAAATGGATAAAGGCATGAAGAAAGTGACAGAGAGGCTAATGAAAATGAAAAAATTTCGATTGACAAGTTAGTCGGTATTCTCAGCACAGCAATTACAGGACTTGAACAGCGGAACTTTGTAACTGAACAAGAAATTATGTCTGTTTATAAAATTAAAGAGAAAGTATTAGCAAATAAAATGAAGCAACTTAAACAACTTACATTGAAAGAAATGTTTAATAAAGTAAACAAATAAATATTAAGCTTTTTTTTTTTTTTTTTTTTTTTTTTTTTTTTTTTTTTTTGTACATTCAAATACCCTTTAGACCATAATTGCTCTTTATTTCATAAATTACGGTTTCATAATTGTAGTTTTATAATTTCTGCATGCCATCTTAACAGACTTAAATTGATGATGTATAATCCGGAAAAAACCCTAATCCGGAATTGCCGAAGTCCCGACAAGTCCGGATTAAAGACTTTGTACTGTAATTAATGTAGGAATTTTACCACAGATAGCAAAAACTTACACAGAAAAAAGCAAAAGGCTAGGAAAAATAGTGAAATTTTCCCAAATGAAAATTTAAAAACTCTTTAAATAATAAATAAATGAAAAATAAAAAAAAATGCAAAGCTAACAGACATAAAGCTCTAACACAAATAACCAATACATAGTAAATATGAGGAGAGTTAAATAAGTCCTAAGGCTGAGTGTGAACTTGCAGGTTCCTGAAATATGGTGATATCATTGTATCATCCTTTAACAGCATAAAAAGGAAAGCACCAACAACAGGTACTATTAGTTATTTGATTTGGGGGGGGGAAGCTGCTCAGATGTTGTTGGTCAAAAAAAAAAAAAAAAAAAAAAAAAAAAAAGCAAGTACTGTTCAGTGACAGATGTCATAATAAAATATGCATTGCCAACCAATAAATATTCATGGATGCAGGGCTGCAGTTTACAGTGATACATCTTCTTATGTTGTCTTTAAAAGGTACAGGTTCCCATATTTAGACACAGGTTAGTATCACTCAAAGATTGTCTCAGATCAGGCCACAAGTTGAAGAATATCTGATGAAAAATAGATCAGTTACAGTATCTGAGTTTAGTACAGTCAAAAGTCGTTAATTCGGACACCCATAATCCGGAATGATCTATAATCCGGACGTCAAAGCTAAAAACTTTCTGTGCATGCGCCGCGTTGGCACATGCGCACAGGCGTTTTATGCGTGCGCGTAAGATCTTGACTTCTGCGCATATGCGTGTGCGCAAGTGCAGAATACGTTTTCGCCTGCGCGTTTAATGTATAACGGACGGTGTAAGCTAAAATTATCTAATTATCTATTTCAGTTAATGTTAATGATTGCGTTGTTCCTTAATCTTCGAATTGGATCGCGCTTATTATTTTTTGCTGACTGTAAGAGCAATTTTATAAAAGTAAACTTGAACTTTCGATTATGTCAAATAGAATTTCCGATGCTGGAACTTCCAAAGGATCTACAAAACGAAAGTATGTTTCGATGTCCAACAAACAAAAAGTGGAATTGCTGCAAAAAATGGCTAAAGATATGAAGAATGTGACAGAGAGGTTAGTGAAAACGAAAAAATTTCGATTGACAAGTTAGTCGGTATTCTCGGCACAGCAATTAACGGGACTTGAACAGCGGAACTTTGTAACTGAACAAGAAATTATGTCTGTTTATAGAATTAAAGATAAAGTATTATCACATAAAACGAAACAACTTACATTGAAAGAAATGTTTAATAAAATAAACAAATAAATATGAAGCTTTTTTTTTTTTTTTTTTTTTTTTTTTTTTTTTGTAAATTTTGATACCTTTTAGATCATAATTGTTCTTTATTTCATAAATTATGGTTTCATATTTTTAATTTTAGAATTTTTGCATGCCATCTTACGAAATTTAAACTGATGATCTATAATCCGGAAAAATTGATAATCCGGAATCGCCGAAGTCCCGACGAGTCCGGATTAACGACTTTTGACTGTACTGAAATTAGTATCACTGCTGGATTAATGAAAGAGTCCTGAATGAAAAGATGCAGGAGGTTGAAGATTTGCACAACATATGCACTCAGAATGTTGATAACAGAAATAAAGAAACATTGGGTCAAATGTTCTTGAGATTTGCTTTGCAGGACAAACAGTGCTGACAATTTTTATTCACAGATATTAACAGGAGATAAAACATGGCTTCACCAGGAATTAGGAATGAAATAACGCATGATATGGAAACATAATAGATCTAATGGATCTCCCCTGATGTTCAGAGCCCTATGACTTTTTGATATGATGAATAATTACTTTTTATTGATTATTTGCCACATAATGCCACAATAACAGGTACTTATTGATTCAACTCCTACAAACTCCAACAGCATAACGACAGAATGCTGTCGCTAATTCATCAAAAAGTGTTGCTTTTGCATGACACTGCTCCATCACACAAGGTTAAGATATTATTGAGTGGATTTCAATTTCTCTGCCATCCACTGTATTCACCAGACCTTGCTCCAAGTTACTCCTTTTTGCTCCAAAACTGAAGCAACATATGTGTGTTTTATGATGGAATTATGCTAATGATTTGAAAGATGACATTCAGGAATTCCTTGAAAGTTGTAAAAAACGTTTTTTTCCTACTCAGATTCTACACTAGTTAAATAATTGTATTAAGTACATTGAAATCAAGCACAACTAAGTAGAAAATTGAAAAAGTAATTTTATACATTTATCTTGCATAAGAGAGCTTTATTAGCTAAATGAACACAACCATAAATGATTTTTAAATTTAAATATGCAATTACTTAGAAATAACATTCTGGTAATTTAATCAGTGCTTATTTCATACATTACACCTCACACAAGCATGGTTTCTTGCGTAAGTATCATGTTTTTAAATTTATAAAAAAGGATCACCCCCCCCATTAAAGCTACTTCAGAAGGAACTTATGTAACTTTTAAAAAACTACATCTTTTCATATCTCAGAAATCTTGCTAAACTAAAGGACAAGTCAAGTTTTAAAATTGAGGTTTGGAGTTTGGAAGAGGGTTATTTTGTAGTGCAGGTTTTGCTTAAAATTTAATCATAAATCCTAATGAAGTTCTAAAAGCATGAAAAATTCTTTTAATTATTCAAAAATGAGAGGAGGGGAATCTGAGGATTTTGCAGTTTTACTGACATTGACAAAACATTCAATATTCGTGAAATTTTAAATAAGGCCTTAAAATTAATGATAATAGTCATGTATATTTATGAAACAATAAAACAAATACTGCACCAAACTAGATCCTAACTAAAGACCAAATCAGTAATTTCTAAAAGCGACTGAAGAAACAAAATTTTCCTACCCACTTTCTGAAACCTAAAACTGGAGCACTTTAAATATTGTGAAAACAGCAGATTTCTTATTTGATCACATACAATTATCATTCTACATTTATTCAAAAAGTTTTAAAAACTTCATTGAAAGTTTTAAAAACTTTTCAGTAACTTTGCATGTATTTTTTAACATAAAAAAATCCATGTTTTCAAGATAAAGGTTTTTTTTTTTTTTTTTTTTTTTTTTTTTTGTGTGTGTGTGTGTGTGTGTGTGTTTTTCATATTTTTGCTACTTCTTAAAAACATCAAAAAATATTCTAGAATACTACATAACTTGAGAAATTAAACCTATAGAACATTAACTGAAACACTAGAAATTATACTTCTAATTTTGCTTGCATACAAAACTTAAGACACTAATGAAAAATTACAAACTATATGCCTTATGATTATTTTTACACAGAATAATGCTGCAAAAAGTTTCAAAGAACACAAGAGAAAACATACATTTTTTATTTACTCAATTTTCAACCAAAAATAAAGGAAATTTAGTTGAAAACATCAACGGGAATAATATGAAATTGATAACACAAACATGAGATTAAACTTGCATTAAACACAACTTCAACCTCACACAACATGTGCCAACAAAACTCTCTACATAAAATAGCAACATAACAAAAGAATGACAATGGCATTAAATCTCGTACCATTTAAAACAAGGTGACAAATTAATCTGTACATATCGTCACATAAAACGTTTTGCACTCTTGTTTCCTAACCTTAAGATGTATGTAAATCATAATTAAGGCACAAATATAATTAGCCAGAAACTATTTTAGGAACAGGTTCTAGACTTCATGTATTAAAAAAGATCATGCTGCAGTGATAAATTACAAGTCAAAATTAATATTAAACTCCACAGCTTAAAACAATATATGCATTACTTTTTATTTACAGAACTCTATAGCATCATGCAAGTTTAAAGCTAAATTAACATAACACAGTACAAAGTCCGAGATCCGGTCGTCCAATATCTGGACCTCAAAGCCATCACCAACAAAAAAAATTTTTAGGACTTTTTTCCAGTGGGGGTGTATGCTTTATGCATGTGCATTTGATTTTTTCGCTCTAAATAATAAAATATGCGGAGAGTCCCAATTCTTAAGCTCACTTCAGCACTAAATAAAAGACCTCATTATTGAAGAAATAATCATTTTAACATAAATTTGTGTGATAACTAATCTGACTCCGTATCTGTGTATTTGCTCGGCATACATCTCGGAATTGAAACATTCTACATAGAAAAATCGTTGATTTCACACCAACTAGTATTTCACCACATGTTTTTCAACACATGACAACTTGAGTGATGACTCAGGCAGCGATGCCTAAACAATTTGTTTCTGTTAGTAATTGAATAACAAAGAGTATTATCCGATTACAGATTTAACAAAAATTTCTTTCCACATGCTAAAAATTGATTTTGTTAATGATACCCATAGGCCAAAAAATTACAGTTAGTACTATTTAAATTAAGAATCACTGATTTGTTATGCACACAGAAAGAAAGCCAAAGAAAGGCACCCATTCTGGCACCGCCAGAGATCACAAGGCCGCAGCAAGCAGCAGAATTTAGGGAAGAGTTAACAGAAGTTTTTCATTACGATGACAATGTCCCAATCATCAATCAATTAATGTATGGGGAAATCTGTAGTATGGTTCTAGATCCATGAAATACCACTACCAATATTGAAAAAAGTGGACAGAGAAGTTATTGCAAAAGAAAAAATTTCAATTGACAAGTTAGTCAGAACTCTCAACACAGCAATAACAGGACTTGAAAAATGGAACTTAGTAGCTGAACAAGAAATTATATCCGTCTATAGAATTAAAGAGAAAGTATTAGCACACACACAAAATATAGCAACTTAAACAACTTGCATTGAAAGAAATGTTTAATAAAGTAAACATATAAATATTAAGCTCTTTTTTGTTAATATGGATACCCTTTAAATCATAAATGCTTCATAATTTCATAAATCATGATTTCATATTTTTAATTTTATAATTTCTACATGCCAACTTACTAGATTTAAACTGATGATCTAATATCTGGAAAAACACCAAATCTGGGGCTGCCAAAGTCCCGATGAGTCCAGATCTCTGACTTTGTACTAAATTACTAAAAATCAAATAAATATAATTTGGCCATTAAAATTTACCTGTACAGCTACAGAAGGTAATGATTGTCTCTGCTCTAAAATTTCAGCATCTTCTGGTGCAGTAGTAATATATTCAGGAAGAGGAGAATCAGGACCATAAAAGCTATTCATAGCATCACCATCTCCGGAGCCTGAATCAATTCTTGATGATCCCCTGTTCCATGAAGAACACTCAATATCTGAATACCTCTGTTCAGAACATGTACTGATAGTAGAAGGTGTTAAGCACTCTTCAGGAATAAATTTTTTTCTCCCTAGTTTAATTCTTGGAGGAACGGAACTTGTTTGCGATTGAACAGATGGTTGTTTTTTAGATGAGTAATCAACAGATGCATATAATGAACTAGGGCAGGGAACATTTGAATCGGATTCTTGAGGCAAAGGAGGTGAATAATGAAAATTACAATCATCAATTTCATTATGAGAATGTTCAGGATGAACGTGATGCATTGCAGTAGGTAGAGAGGAATATTCAACAAATTCTGGAGCTGGCAAACTATCATCTGATTCTTGATGCTCTTCAAAACTACCTCGAGAAGAATCCTAAATAAAAGAAATATTTAGGGATAAAGAGATTAAATCCCAATAAAAAATTTTACAGTTAAAAAAATACAACAGAATAATTCCCACATGTGCAATAAAAAATTTTGCTGCTAATTCATAAAAAAAAAAAAAAAAATTGCAACACCACTTTTTAATGGAAAATTCACCTCCTTTTTCCCAAAAGTAGAAAGGAAATACTTTAATTAAATGCAGCAATCTCTGCTGTATTACTGGCACAAAATTGAAAAATCTGTGGAAACACTAATTATCAATTTGTTAGTATATATAATTTCAAGTACAGAAAAAGCTCAACTATCCATACAGCTCAGGAAATGTTGAATTCCGGATATGTGATAGTTTCGGATACTTGAGCACATAAAAAATGTAATTCATGTTAGAAAAAACAAATAATTTTATTTGCTACCAAACTGAATATCAAAAGCCTACATTTAAAATTACATATGATTTTGAAAAGAAAAAAAAAAAAGTACATTTCAGGCATAAAAGCTGATGCATTTTGTGGACATTTTTAACATGAAAGTAAAACATTTAATCCGATTATAAAATCTTGCCAAACATGAAAGTTAGTGTAGATACGATACAAACTATAGCATATAAAAAACTGAAATCTCTTGCCATCTTTCACATTAACATTGCTACTGTTCATCCACTTTTAAAGTCATGCATCATGGCTTTTTTTGATTCCTGGATCCTGTAATTTAACTGTTCCTGTATCCTGTTGAGTATTTTTAATAATTACTCAACTTCGTTCAGTCACTTCATGTTAATCATTCTTTCTATGTGTGTGTGGGGGGGGATACAACTTATTTCCTTCTTTGAAATTAATTTCCTTAAATGAAAGGCTTATCAAGAATTAACAGAATTTACACTAAACCAAAATGAACGTCTTATGATTGTGTTGCAACATCATGCTATCATTACTTGTGTTAAATCTTTCTGTTTGGCAACAACACATATATGTTAATAGCATAAATCAGCTCTACAATGGCATTACAAATACCTTATCAACTAAACCCTTCCATGGAAAAATTATCGAAAATTCTTAAATATTTCAGTTACTTAAGCTTTCTACTTAGTTGAATACCAGATATTCAGGCTTTTACTGTATAAAGGTTCGAAACTTTCTCAACAGTATTATAATCTATACCTCATATAATAACAAATGATATTAATGCAATAATATGCCTTTATGTTAAGAAATCTCAGAACATTTAATTAAATTTAAAATAAACTGAAAAGAGGTTTTTAAAATTACAGCCATATGTCTCTCTCTTTACTTTCTGTGATTCTTAATAAGGAACATTTAACTGTGCTTACTCCGAAAGTTTAACTGTGGCAAGAGTGCATGCAAAATAAAAAGTGATTTCATTATGCTTATTTAACCATAAACTTACATATTATTTTACTACTTGTTGATTATTGTATAGCATAACACATCACAATGGGGACAATCCACACCCCACAATTTTGATGATGATGGATTACATTTTTAATAGAAGCAGCTAAGCAAGAGACATCCTGTAGCTAGCAAGTGAAGGTGGAGAAAAGAGAGAGTGTAGTTGGATTGAAGCAGTATTTGTAGTAAAATTTTGCATTAATTCGATTGGCTAGGGACTGTACACAGTGCACAAGTAAAACTGGTAAAAAATTGTGAATGATATTATTTACCTTATTTTTTAATGTAAAAGAAATGCATGCTATGTTGATTGATTCTTTGACACTGCTATGATAAGTCCTTTCACAAACATACTATGCACAACTTTCTAAACAATCTAACAGTTTAACTTCACGTATAAAAACAGAATAATGAATATTAACTATATTTATCACAGTGAACAAATATTGAATGCATTATTTTGCTTCGCAGACTTTAGCTTTTGTTGAACATCCTAGCATTCTTTGCAGAAATTTCTAATTTGATTAATAAAGTTCCTTATCAGGTGCTGCTGATTAGTATAGAGATAATTTTTCTCAAATCAAATTTTAGTTAATTTTCTTTGATAATTTAGCTCTGGTTCATTATTGTCTGAAGTCCAACAGCAACTGATTAACATTCCAAGATCCCTTTTTCCTTAAAAACTGATTTGTTTTTTAAGATTCCACTGATCATATAATTTGATGCAAATATTCTCAACTCTTCACTTACAACTCCTTTGTTCTTAGAGGAAAAAATCATAGTTTGAAGTCAAATGAAACTGCACATGAGATACTTCATCTCCATAACTAAGTTTTGCAAAGCTCATTCTTAAGCTTTATGAAATTTCCTGTCTTTTACTTACCTAACAAGTTTGCCACTTTTTTTTTTTTTTTTTTTTTTTTTTTTTTTATGAATTTAGACTAAATTAGCCTTATTCAATATATACAGAGACACTGAATCACTTACTAGTTATCGAATTTAAGAAACTAAATACTCATTTCTTAACTTAGGGGAACTTTCGGCTAATCTTTGGAATATGGTAACAGGTAGTTTGGCAACATTTTGGTAAGGCGATAAAGGTTACTAGCTAGGACATTAGCAGTGTACATGGATAAAGTGTGCAATGCCAATTTTGTGCAATTCTGGGATTTTTTTTAAGTGAAAATAGGTTGACGTGTACATGGATACCGTATATATGCAATTCTTAAAAACGCGGCAAGCAGTTTGCGATTCTGCACTTTCTCCCAATTTCACACCTAATCTTCATCATGATTAAGCATTTTTGTTCTAGTATAAGCGTAAGTCGGCTAGCAGATTGTTGGAAAAAATGTTGAGTAAAAAAAAAAAAGCTTTTATTTTGTGAAAACAAAACTAGCAGGTTGCTATAGCAGGGTTGGTTACCAAATTTTCGCCAAAAAATCGCCAAGTTTCCATAATCTGAATATTAACCGAACTTTCCTTTTAGAAAATAAAAATCTTTTATCCATTAGTTTCAAAAAATGCTTCATCAAAGAAATAAGCATTTCGTTCCAGTTTGATCTGAAGAGCTGACAAATACACATACACTACCTTTCTAGTCTTCAGAGTTGATACATCCTTTCTAGGATAAACCTTTTCAATACATTCAGAAAACTGCTTTACTGTCACCTGCATTCGATTTTTGCCATTTTAAAATTTTATATGAATAAATATAAAACAGGAGAAGAGTATTTTTATATACAAAGAGGATTTTAATATTATGAAACTAAAATTAACAAAAATTGTGCATATAATCATAGAGATCCATCTAATAACAAATGAATATATTTAAAGCAAAATTAAATGCAATATTTGCTTATCATATGCTAATATTAATGACAGTGTGATCCCAGAAGAATTGTAGGCCTGCTGTGTGTGTTAAACAATATAGAAGTCTTCATAGAAAGTTTTATAACTGATTAAAGTAATTCAGATTAAGTAAAAATTGATCACAAAAATTATGCTGAAACTCGCTTGAGGAAAAATTAATTCACATGGAGCCCAGTGTTCCCACATTTTCACCAACATTTTATTTTAATTGTATTTCCTTCTATTTTGAATGACTGCCTTCAATAACTCTTCTAGACCTACAACTGAAAGAGATGATCTAAATTCTATGAACTAAGATGATAAATGCTCCAAAGAGGTTTTTTACAAGATATTTAAAATGCTTCTTCAAAACAACCAAATATTTGGGTGAGGGGCTTAGACTTTTAATGTTTTGTATGAATTGCAGAATCATGTTTCATATAATAAAACTAATTTAACAGTAAAAATTTTACAAGCGGGGAAAAAACAAAGAGAAGAACAAACAAAAAAAAAAAAAAAAAAGGTTACCTCAGTACTTTCTCTACCCCTAAACAACTTCTGTGGTGGCTCCAAATTCAGAAGAGATAATTGATTTAAACGACTTCGCAATAACTCAAGTTGAACATTGCATTTCTGATTCTGTTCTCTCAAGTGCTCATTCTGTTCTTCTAACTAATAATAAAAATAATAATAATGATTAAACACCCTTGTCTTTTAATTCAATAAAATTAAACATTCAAATAAAGCATAAAATTTATTGCTGCTGCAATAAAAAATAAATCAGTTTCATGGTACTGCCTTTTCCTTTTATTTGAGTAAGCCAAATTTATATTTCAGATAGCATGCAATTAAAAAAGGCGAACTGAAATTCACTAACAGAGGCACAAACCAAAATCAGTTAAAACTCAACATTTTTATTCCACAATGGCTTATACATACTTTAAATTGCAAGTTATAAAATCTATGTTCTTTAATACGCTACATTCAAGTTTAATCGATGCATTAGGCTTTCCAAAAGCATGAAAATTTGCAGAAATTTCTGGATTCATGTAATCTAAAATTATTACATTTAAAGATGAATTACTATGCTTCATAATCTTTTGTTACAAATTTTGGCAGTAAAAGAAGAAAAGATTTTGTTGAAATCCATCCCCCAAACTGTTTTAAATTGGAGGTGGACACTTCTACTTAACATAAAACATAAGTCCTAAATTGCAGAACAATCACAAGACAAAAGTGAAAAACACTTCAATATATATACTAACTCATGCATGCCAAACAGATATATGATGTATTTTTGAATTACATTATTAATAAATTCATGTCTCCTTTATTATGCCTGTTGTGAATAAACCAATAAAATGAATAATTTCAAAAAAAAAAAAAAAAAAACTATCTTTCTTTGCACATCTCGAACAATTTGTTGCCCTCCCACCTTTAAAACAAATTTAGGATTCATTTTGAAAGGATCTCTGCTTTCCCATTCACAATCTTCATTTGAGTGAATTGCTTCACCTGACTGTGGATTTTGCAAACAATCTTCTAAATGATTATTTTACACTTTATACTTTATTCTCTTGTTGTACCTTAAACATCACTTGCAGTTTTAAGTATGCATGTCTTTTAACTAGAGGAACTAGTTCATTACCACAAATTTCAGTTTTATGCTCAAGGCCCTTAAAATTCTATTTAAATTTTAATGAAGTTTCAAAATAAAAACTCTTACTACAGAAATTACTACCCCACAATCATTAATAATAAAAAAACCATTCAAGAGTAGTTTTTTCGGCAGGGGGAGGATCATTTGACTGCTTTTATTGCTGCGTGCTGCACATTCATGGTAAATCCAAGGCAGTTTTTTTGGATAAACTAATAAGCTGCATTTTCAGCATCCATTAAGCAATATCAGCTAAAATGCTGAATAATTAAACCAATAAAGGTTCTACAAAATGTTTATACAGCTAGCATTACTGACAAAATTGTAGCATTCTATGTAGAACAGCAACAACAGAGGTGCAATGAAACTTCTATTTGTGAAGAAAGAGGGTTTTTCAAAAATATAATAATATAGCGAATAAATATTTTTAAATTTATTCTTCACATTATATTCAACAGAAAATATAAAAATAAAGAAATAATAATTATATCACAATATACAAATAATATTAGAATAAATATTTAATAACAGGAGAAAGGAAAGCTATGAAAAAGACAAATCTAATTTCATGTAATCAATTCAGAATCAACAGAAGCTAATTGCAAAAATGATGATGCATTCTACTACAGATACTCTTAAGCATGCGATACAAATTCATTAATAACTTCATGCATTTTAAAAAGTATTTTTTTTTATTAAATGAGGAAAAAGAAAGCATTTTCCTTTCAGCTAATTCAAAAATAATATAAAATATATTTCAAATACAAAAGCAGAATAAAAACAAATGGTAATTTTCATAAATTGAGCAACAAAATTAAAAATTGCAGCCATTTTCTAAAAAAAGTATAATTTCTCAAAGCTTGTACTTATCAACTAAAATGTAATAGTGAATCACTTAATTATATAAAAAAAGTGACACTGGTACATGCAAATCATCTTTATCATTAAATTATCTTTTGAAAGCTGTATGTTAAGACTCATTTAAAAATAACATTCAAAAACATTTTGGCAGTATATCACTTGACCGTTGAATAAAAATAAGCAACTTCTAGTAGATCAAAAATCAGTTAGAAGAGAGCATTCCATGGTTTATTAGATATTATGTGTTTCACAGAAGTGTTGGAACAATCTTTAGAATTCTCATATTACATCTCGGAAATGAAAGTTATAATGTCTATACAGCTGCACCAGATGACTGATACCTTTTATTATCTGCTTCCTAGAAAATAACAATTTAAATCCATGTAAGAAGCACTATTTTGTGATAGAGGTCCCTGTCTTCCACTAAACAGATAAGTTAAAAAAAAGCCAACACCTGCACATTTAAGTAGGCATATTAAGTATCAATGGGTATCACTAATAGCTAACATTCTACTGTGGATTGAATTCTGAGGGAAAACAAGTCAGAGTGGAGTTAGAGTCTCCTATCCCTCTTCCCTTCCCACCAATCTCTCAAGAGGATTTCAGCTTGTTGTGTATTTTGAGTTACAACTTGCAGACAGACAATACATGCTTACAAACATCTATGCTTTCTCTGATATTCGAATGTAGGCCCTTCAGTATGGCTGTCAGTGTCACTAACCACTGTACCATCTTGGTAGCACTCCCACTGAACACATGAAACTTCATGCACAAGTCTCTTAGGTCTTAGCAGAAAAGCAGAAAGAGCCAGTCCTCTTACTGGCTGGTGCTCACTAGCAGTTGAGTGGTTAAGACCACAACGCTGGTGGTTTGACCTGGGTTTGATTCTCGGCAAATAAAACTAGCAGTTAGTGGTTTTTTCCATGCATAATGTGGATACAAGCCAGTTTCCCTTAGAAAGTTCTCGATGAAGGTTTCTGTCTCCTTCGGCAGATAGCCCTCATGCTTTGCCATAATCAAATACACCAAAATAGCATCTTAATGGCTGCCTTGCTATTCAGGGAAAGCATGACTCCATGAGAGGCTTTCTAAGAAAAATAGACAACATGATTGAATTTGTCAGTTTAAGAAAATCAACAAAAATCCAAATTCTTTACTGATTAGTTCAAATTTATTTTTCAGAATTCTACACACATTCTGAATAAGTAAGGGATATAATATTATTCACTTACATAACCACCTTTTTAAATGGAACTGCACATGCAATTTTACAGAAAAAGAAATACTAACAAATGCAGACAGAGAGAATTGAGGTATTGTATTGCTATATTTTCCTTTCTACAGGCTAACTAGAAACTAGCAGTGGTCAGAAATGCATGTATTTTAATTTTTAACATATTATGCACATGAAAAGCTATAAGAAGGTATGGTACTGCCATAAACCTTCCCCTCAGAATGCTAGAAGAGACTTATATGAACACAGTTATAGCTGAAGTGAAGTGCTGTTGGCTGCATAAATAACAAACAGTCCTACATTACTTAGATTGTTTTCACACTCCATATTGAAGTAGTTTTACCTAATTTTTGACAATATCCTTCAATAAGTGTCATTCCATAAGTGTTAATTTTAACAGAAAATAAAATTTTCATGCAAAATGTTTGAAAATTTTGTAATTTATACTTAAGCAAAGATTTTCAACAATTAATTCAACATGAAATAATTAAAAATTTTCTTCCAAAATTTATAGAAATCACAATCTTTTTCATTTATTAAAGTAAAATAAAAATTGTACCTCTTTTAATTTATTCGTAACCCATTCTTTAATTCTGGCAGCTTTATCTTCAACTTGTTTAGCATCAAGTATTCGCAACTTTCTCTAGATAGAAATCATAAAACTTAAAATAATATAAGTAAAAATGGTTGGCATTCTGAATAAATAAGGGATATATTTATGATTAACATTACATCATTATTATATGATTAATATTTACATCATTCCTGTAAATATTTAACAGAAAAATCAATGTATTTTTAAGATCAAATTTTAAAAATCTGCATTGGAATTTCTGATGCATTACATAATGCTGAGAAAGCACAACAACGAATAAAAAGAGAGTTGACTCATAATAAAGTCACTTTAAAAATCCAATTACATGCAAGGAACCTAACTCGAAGTTGAACACTCAGTGCATAAATATATTAGGTAATTTAGATTAGCAGAGAGCATACAACGACTATCTGCCAGAGGGCTATCTTTGTTAAAGAATCTGGCTCAAATTTATATTATACATGGGAAAGACCATGAAAACATCCATGCAGTTAAGCCTGTTCATGAAAATTTGAGCTTGGGTGTTCAGCAGTTTTAACTAGCTGGCCAGTGATGGGCCATCTGTGTGTAAATGATTTTATCCATGATACCTTAATAAAAGCATTTTACACAACAGGAAAAAATGTTACTAAGATATTAAATTATGTCTAAGTGATAAGAGGATATATAATTTTTATAAGGGTGATGAAATGAATGCAATAAATTCTTATAATTCATGAAAAAAGCAAATTCATGAATTCATGTTAAAACAAAAAAATAAAAAGATCAGAGAGACGAAAGAATGTACAGAGACAGAACAAATATGGAGCGCAAGCAAATGGACAGTGCTTAAAAAAAGGAAAACTGAAAACAGTAATAAAGTCTTGCTTCAAGAAGGTTAACTTGAGTAATTATTTTTGGTTTCCATAATATAATGAACTAATATAATCCATAATATAATTAACATTCTATAATATAATGGCTAGACAAAAACAATGGAGAGTGGAAACTCACTCCATGTCTTTCACTCACAGAAAGAAATGTACTTAAAATTCATGCACACTATAAATATACAGATTTTTCGGCTCAGCCATTATGTAAAGCAGCTATGGAAATAGGGAAGAAATTCTATTTCAGTGATTTTTGATAGTGGACATACAATCAACACATAAGACAGTGAATCACAAACTTTTCCGAGTCATGGCACCTTTGTTTCAATTAAAATTTTTCCAGGGCACCCTAAAGTATGATTAATTGTAAGAGATGAAAATAGATAAAACTCATGTATCTTCATTATGTAATACTTTTTAACTTTATAAACATTAAATTATTAATTAATGTGATGGATGGCCTTGCAGATCGCTACACATTTTCTTAAATCATGGATTTAAAGTGGACACAACCACCCTCATTTCCTTCTCCACATTGATTTTTGCTCTATACTTGCTTTTTATTACAGCGTCAACTGAAAATCCAGCTTCACACAAATACAATGTCAAAAATGGAATTGAAATCTGCTGAGAATTATCACTTAGAAGGCATATTCATTTTTTTTATTGAAATCCAAAATTCTGTCAATTCCATGCTGCCAAATTTCACTTTCAAACTGTTGTCACAAGATAACTCGATAAGATTCTCTTCTTCCACACAAGTAAATTCAGATGGAGCACTAATGTTAAATGGATCTTGCAACTCATTCTGATGCAAACTCATTCTGAAAGTATTTATCAAACTAGATAATCAGCTGTAATAAGTGCCATTCAAACATGGTTTTTATATCTTGAGCAAGATCATTTGACATCAAAAATTGCTGCAATATTAAAAAACAATCTTTGCTTACACCTTCATTCAGTTTTCTTACTTTTACTGCTGATTTTAAAAAATGCATGTTTTTCCCCTCCAAGACGAGAGATTGACGAAACTAAACTTTTTGAAAATGTAAGGTAAATATGGCAGTTTTATTAAAAAGTTGGCCTCAGCAAAATTTTCTACATCTTTGTATAAAATTTTCTTGATGCAATTCAAAGGTACGATATAAACCATTACCATGACAGAGCCATTGTGCACTGCTATAGTACAACAAAGACGAGTATTTGGCTTACATATCCTAACATAGTTTCTTGAAAAAGGTTGCTTTTAATGGAAGAGATTTTATAAAATTTACCACATTCACTACACATTCTAACACCTGATTGAGTGTAGGAATCAGATGCTTTGATGCAAGTGCTTCTTCATTAATAATGAAATGGGTCTACAATGCATTTGGTGATTTGCTTCGAATAAGTGCCTGTAATCATCCATAGCATCCAGACATGGAGCGAGCTCCATCAGTACATACACCAACACATTTAGGCCAATTCAAATTATTTTCAGATATGAATGCATCCAGAATCTTGAACAGGTTCTGAGCCTTTGCTCCTGTAGTGATATTTTTATAAAACAGAAGGTGTTTAATATTAATACCATCTGTAAACTGTATATTGCACATGAAACTAGCATCCTTATTATTATCCATAACCTCATTTAGCTGCAATCCAAATTCCCCTCCTTCAAATTTTTCACTTAATCAATAGTTGATGTAATCCGCAATATGTTGCATTCTCTAACTAATTACGTTATCGGACAAAAGTACTTTTAACCTTCCAGTACGGGGGCTAGGCAATTTTACATGAGCATGCAAGCGTCGTATTTTTTGTGACATATTTTACCACTTTAGGACGAAAAACGACAGAAATGAGTAAACATTGATAATAAATTTGTTAAGAAATAAAATGTTAATCTCATTATTGCAAAATACAAATGATATCACATTCAAATATAAGTGAATTATTTTTAAGTTCTTATGTTAGTGAGAAGGAAATGCAATGATGTATTTCATTATAGAAAATTTCAAATTTATTATTTAATAATTATATTTTAAAATCAAAGCTAATTTTAATATTCATCAAAGACAAGAATAGCAATAAAAAAGGAAAACACCTTGGTAGGAAAAAAAGTAAATTTAGCATTACTTACTTCTGCAAGGAAATTTACTTCTTACTGGTTACAAAAACACACTTTAAACTAACTTTCATGTTTTTATTTATTTCTAAAAAATAGCAATAAAAGAAAATAAGGAATGGAAATTGCTATTGTTCTCCCATCCAAAAGTTTCCTTGTCTTCCTTTTCTTAATCAGATAATTCTTGAAGAATCCGAGCAAAATCAGCTGGTTGCACATATTTTTTTGCCATGAAAACCGATATAAAATTTACAGAGCCAAATGTTTTGAAATTAAAATAATACACTGCAGTTAATAACACAAAATTACAAAATATTTGAGGAATAAAAATTTTTTCCGAATTTTAAAACACGACCACACGCGTGTCGTAACTTTTATGAAAAAGCTGCCACGTAGCACAAAAGGCCCAGTTTAAAAAAAAAAAAAAAAAAAGACTTCCTGTTGGCACATTCCATGATGCGGGGAAGGGTAGAAAGGAGGAATAGAAATGACCTTCAGACATCTCAGCTTCGATATGCGAAAAATGTGCATTAAAAACTGAATTTGTCATAAATTTTGTGCATACATGCGTGCTGGAAGGTTAAAAGCAGCTTCCCAGCAGACTCATCAATCATGATGTTCACCATATCTACAGCAGCTAGTAGAATAAGTTCTTCTGCGATGGTATAAGGCATCTTATATTTCATGATTCTGTAAGCCACCTTGTAATATGCTAGCAAAGCATTTTTTTAGTATTAATGCAGTATTAAAAATGTTTCTTTTTGTTTGTTTCAGTTCTTTTAACTTCCTGAAAAAAAAAATTACAAGGTTTGCCAACCATTCTGTGGGGATTAGCTTCTAAATAACACTTCGATTTATTTGGAAGCATACAATTCGCTGCCAAAACTTTCATACATGACATGCATTGCGATCTCTCTTCACCATTCATTTCTGTTGACGTAGACCAAACTCTAAATAAATGTCATCATATTTATGATATTTTCGTATCTTCACAGTCATGCCACTGGTTGAAGACATACTTTCTTTACCTGCACTATTACATTTATTACTATTCCAAAATCAGAAAATCATCAAAAATAAAATAGCAAAAAAATTTAAAAAAAAAAAAATCATATCAGACAAGAAGTTATATAACATTGACTATTCTACATAAACTAATTTATCTCACCGTTTACTTATATGAACGATTAATTTTACTAGACTTAGATTATAAACCGACTGATTGAATCTAGCCGGCAACGCTTGCTTATATGCTTTTTGAACTGTAATAAAGCTTCAAAAGGTAATTACATAATTTCCTGCTAGTGATATCGGCACCTCAGGAACTTTGCGCTGTTCCATTAAAAAGGCCCTAGTTGTCATTTTCATGTGTCACATCAGGTTGTGGCATGTACAGTATCTGTGTACATTTGTCCGAGGCTGCCAATTTGATAATTTCATCTGCATTTGCACTGCTGTGTACTTCAGTGTGGGTACAGACTCACTTGAGCTTTGGTCTGATATTTGCTACCAGGAAGAGGATTGTTCTCTGGATCTCCTTGACTATGTCATTCCTACTTTATCAACCCCATATACACTGGTGTGCAAAAATTAAGGACGAAGTCGAAAAATTAGCATATCAGCTGAACGAAGAGGCAGAGCGGACAGAAAGACCAATCAGGAGATTAAAATAAGGTGATGCACGGTAGCACATGCACAGATATGCAGGTAGACGTAATGGGGGAGTGTCTGAGTAGTATAAAGTATGTTGTCGGTGTAAGATCAGTATTTCTGGCAAAGAGATTGCACGCTGTATAGCAGTTAAAATGACATCGAGTTGCTGCCTCAGCGAGAAATGGCGAATAATCAATCTGTTAGACGACATCTGGATGCTTTTACCCGAGGTCGAATCATTGGGAAGTTGGAGGAAGGCCGCAGTGTGACAAGTGTGGCTGCAGAGTTCAGAATTGCTCACAGCATCATTTCACGGCTTTGGAGACAATTTCAAACTACAGGAACAGCTATCCGGGGTTTAGTAGTGGTCGTCCACGAGGAACCACACCCGCAGATGACCGGTATATTGCCTTACAGGCCAGAAGAAACAGGCGGCAGACAGCGGGAGAAATCGCTAGACACACGACACAGGCGACTGGACGACCGATATCGCGTTTTACCGTGGCCAGAAGACTGCACGGTGGTGGTCTGTTTCCACGACGCCCTGTACAGTGTGTAACTCTAACGCCTGCCCATCGGAGAAGGCGTTCTCTGCGGTGCCGGGAACACCGGAATTGGAGAGACAATGAATGGGGACGAGTACTCTTTACAGATGAGAGCAGATTCAGTCTGAGTAGCGATTCTCATCGCATACTCATCTGGAGAGAGCGGGGAAGCCGCAATCATCCATCGAACATCATTGAAAGGGACAGGTATGGAGGTGGCGGTGTTCTTGCTTGAGGATGCATCATGCTTGGTAGTCGTACAGACCTTCACATCTTCGATGCAGGTTCAGTCAACGGGACCCGTTATTGTAACGAGATTCTTCTTCCATATGTGCTTCTTTTTAGAGGCGCTATGGGTCCACAGTTCCTTTTCATGGACGACAATGCACCATGTCATCGCAGAGTAGTGCAGAACAGCTCTTAGAGAGTGAGGATATTGAACGTATGGATTGGCCGGCACGATCTCCGGATCTCAATCCCATCGAGCATGTATGGGATTTTCTAGGCAGATGCTTGGCAGCTCGTACCTTACCACCAGTAACGATTCCGGAGCTTCAATTGGCGCTGCAAGACGAATGGGCAGCAATGCCTCAACAACTCATTAACACCCTCATTCTCAGCATGGCCAGACGCTGTGAAACCTGCCTAGCAGTCAGGGGAGATCATATCCCTTATTAAAGACCGGATGTTTTTTGCTGGACACCCATCACAGGGATGTTTCGGCCTTCAGTCGCATTGCACTCCACGCTACTTTTTCAATAAAGCTTCTTTTTATCCCTCTCATTTCTCTTTTAGTAAGTGTTGCTTACATTACTCATGTCCTTATGTATTGGGATCTTACGGTATTAAATGTGTTCATTTGGAAAGCTTTTGTACAAAGTTATATTGAAAAAACCGTCTCGTCCTTAATTTTTGCACACCAGTGTAGAGTGCAGACTTGACACTAAGCCAGAATATATGGTTAATCCAAGACCAATTAGAATTCTGTTGTGAATTGCCACTCAAGCTCAGCCTGAAACACTGCACTAACAGAATTTATTCTTTGTGAACAGGTTAAATACTGGTGCCTAATATGACACAAAAGCCACAGCCTGTGCCTTGGTTCTCCTTTGATCGTTAGTATACCAGTTTTTCAGTATGTCTAGACAGAGCTGAGAAGATTGTTAGCTAAAAGATTGCTTTGGTTGATTACTACATCTATTCCTAGTTGCCAAGACTTCTTACAAGATGGATTTCAGTAGGTTAATACTTCACACCCCATACCTGCATTTTTATGGTTTTGAAGAACACTCTTCTTGATTTCAAAGACTGTAATGCATCTCTTGTTTTCTTGATTTAAATCCCATAAAAGATATCTAGAATGTTTTCTGGTTGACATTTTCAGATAAAATGTATCAGGAGTTTTGGTGAATGTGAAAACATGAGTGAATGGCAATGTCTCCAATAGCCTTCAGCATCTGGTGAAACCGATGCCATGGTATGTAATGGCTACCCTCTGAAATAAACCTAAATACAATTAAATTAGATATACTCAAATTTTGTTTACTTAATGTATTAATACTATGTAACCTTGGTGCTTTATTGCTTTGTACATTACATATGGAGACAATTTAATAATAATAATTCTAAAAAATCCAGAAAATGAGATAAACCAAAGGCTATTTTGGAAGGGGGAGTAGGTTAAAAGTAAGAACTGTAAAAGGAAATCAACTTGGAAAGTATATGTTTCTAACTGCAAGAAATTTCAACACAAAATCCCTCTTACAGCTATTCAATATAAACGAAATCATTTTAATTAAAAGTTAAAAAACAAGAAATACAGATCAACCTGCAGCACATAAAATTTAACTGCAAGAAATTTCAACACAAGAACTTTCATATGGCTATTCAATTTAAAAATATAATTTTTAATTAATGACTTTATATCACATGGTTCATGCAGGCAAACCAGATTAAAAACTGCACAAGATTAAAAAAAAAAAAAAATTAGAAACCTGTTCTTCAATTTGTTGCTCCAATGATGATATTATACATTCATTATGTGCACACTCTGGGCTATGTTGAATATTGAATGATGTATTATTACAGCAAGAGATGACAGTTGATGTACTTTCACATTTTAAACGTGAAAGATTCTGCTCCATGACCTGAGCCTTTAAAATTATAAAAAAAATTCTCACATTAGCATTAGAGAAAATGGTTTTGTATATTTACTACATAATATTACTCAAAGTACTCACATAATAATATGAATTAAAAACTAATTTTTTTTTTTCAATTTAGACACTACACAAATAAATCCAAGAAGACATCAATAAACATGCCGAACACTTAAAAAAAAGGAGGGAATGCTATCAAACAAGGACGAAAAAACTCCTAAAAATCATAAAGAAAAATAATAAATAAATAAAATTCTTTGTATTCTAAGCTGCAGCATGTATATGCAAACACATTCTGAAGCCTACAGATGAAGTATTTATTTTTTAAGATTTAATCTAAAAGTTGTTATTGTGTCTGTATTTATGAAAATGGTACTATCTCAATCCTGATTTTAGTTTCACATAGTGCTTGTATAGAACATAAGACAGTAAAATTTAGAACTGCACAAGAAGTGATTATCAAAAAAATGCATAATTTCAAAATAGATAATTTTACTGCATTTCAAAATAGATAATTTTACTGCAATAACTAAATACTGTATTTGGAAAAACCAACACAAGCATCACAAAGTATTTCTAATTAAAGATTAATCATGAAGTAAATTACCCTATTTTTACAATTTTCTCCCAAATCTATACTTTTCCACAGCTTCAGCATTTCACATAAATATGTTTTAATTAGGTGTTAAAGAGAATATAAGTTATGGACAAAAGTGCGTAAAAAATAAACATTGTAAATCAAGAACTGCACTATATTATAATATACAGTTTAAAAAATTACCAGTCACTTCTTTAAAACTAGTATATTTATGCTATTTAAAAGCTTTTCGAAAACAGCATTTTGGCTGTGCCCACAATATGAGCACAATTATTAATAGCACTGGTTTAAGAATGCAATTATTGTAATTTTTTTGGAGAGGGAAGGCAAAATAATATTTCACTTTATGGAATAGGAATTTTTTATTGATAGCTTCTGGCAATGCCAAGTATTTATATAACAGCAGGACACTGTTTGCGATTCAGATTACTTTACCTCTCTCAAAAGGACTTACAACAGCATAAATTTATAGTATGGGTGATTCACTACTAGACTGACAAACTTGCAGGGTGTGTAGGAGGTACAGAGATGACTCAGAATGCCATTGGAATGCATAGTCACAAATGCTGCATTGTGAGCTATAGTACAAAGAAGCAGAGGAAAAGAAAAGAAAGAGCAACACATTAGTGGGACAGAAAATATTTTATTGAAAGGTTGTATTACATCAGTTGTTCGAAATTACAACCAGAAGTCATAGGCCTGACAGCTGCACTGCATGGATTTCCTTACGTTCTGGAGTATTCCAGCAATTCATATATCCTCCCGGCAGCTATAGATGTTCGATCGATGAGGTGTTCAACTGAAGCAATGGGCATCTCATACACCAAACTCTTCATGTGACCCCAGATGCAGTCCACGCATGATAAGTCCAGGGATCTGGCAGGCCAATGAAGGGGGCTACCACGACTTATCCACCGCTGTCCATAGGTCCACTTACTCAGAAAAAATGTCACTCTCCATCCTGAGATCACAAAGTTGTCTTAAAACTTTACAATCAACAAAGTCAACTTTCATCAGGTCAAACAAGTTCGAAAACTTTCAAGGTGTCATATTATTTCTCCCATATGCATTTTGATGCAATGGTTAGCATATATGTTTATCATTTGTGGTCCTGCATTTGATCAACTACTGGTTTATTTCAATATCTAAATTTTAGTTATTGCATGCCTAGATAAGTGGAAAACTGATGAGTTCGGCAGGGTTAAGAGGTAGAAGAAATAAACGAAGAGAACACTACCATTTTATTAATGGCAACAAGGAGAAAATCTTCTAGATATTATAAATGAATTTGATGGCACTGATAGTGTTAATAAAGAAGCAATAGTCTTACAAAAACAGGCGGTTAAATAAAAAAGTTTTAATCCCTTTGCAAATCTCAACACTGTACTAAGCACTATGCAAAAGAAATAAAATGTAATCCAAGCCCAAGTTAGAAAAGAAAATCTTCTAAAATAAACAGTGGTATATAAAATAAATATACAGATTTATTTATAAAGCATAGTACTTGAAGCATACTTTTCTTGTAAAAGAAATGGTGTCTGAATATAAACATCCAAATCACCTAAAACATATTTTAAAATGATTCTTCTTAAATGGTAAGCATCCTTATTTATTTCATTGTAGAAAAGCAGCAGCTAAGAAAGAATTCTACTTGAGCATTAATTACGAGACTTGCCTACCTGCGTCATAATTTGAGAAGTAATTATTACCAAAAAACAGACCGAACTGCAAATAAAAGTGAAGAAAATATCACTAACATTTCATCAATGCAATTAATTACAAACAAGAAACAGGGAAACATGTTATGAAAATTCAGAATGAAATACCTCACAAATTCAGTGAACACAGACATCAGTGCGCACAAAATGATTTTAAAATGTAAAATGATGGTTCATTGACTATTAATGAGTGTCTATCCAGAAAATAGTAATTTATAAAGCATTAATGTCCTACAAAACATTACTTACAGTAAGCAATTAGTAAAAATTAGTACAGAAAAATTATGTAGCTATGACGCAACTCTACTTCTGACAAACTTGTTTTTTTTTTATATATGTTATCAAAAATTAGAATTATCTAAAGATATGCAACACTCTCATTAAAAATTACTGAGCGACGACTTCCGTCATCCTCCTTCAGAACATTTAAATGCTGAGAAAACATTTCAGATACTGCAATTAGCCTTGACAACCAAAAAGCCTATACATTATTATCTGTTATATTATTATTATTCTCTGTTTCATTAAGTTGACATTCTTTAGATCTTTCACTAAACAAGGAGCCTCATTTAGCTTTAGTCAGTAGACGAAGAATACAAGGTGTTACGACACAATAATGTTCAATGATATTGCGATACACATTTGATGTAGCGACTCGGTCTTGCACAAATCATCGCTATCTTTTCCCAGTTTATCTTTTCCAGTGCTAAAAACATGATCTTGAAACAAGGGCTGTACTCATAGCAAATAAGTACAAAACAACTTCCAACACCACACTTAGTGGATTCAGTAAATGCCATTCCATTAAAAATTTTGTTGCAGTATATAGAGCTTCCCCAATAAAGTTACAAATTAAAATGCTCAGAACTAACCTTAATGAAAAAACAATGATGCTTTGTCTTTTATTATCAAAATATACACACATGCTAAACAATAAGCAACAAACGGTAAAAGAAAAGCTACAAATGTAAAAAGGAGAATTAAAGCATACAATCTGCATATAAGGTAGCAGTTCACAAATAGGAAACCAAAATTAGTATAAAACGCATACCCGAATGCATAGTATAAAACGCATCCCCGAATGCAAATAGAAAACCAAAATTAGCATAAAACGCAATCCCGCAATCACACCACAATGGCTTATCAAAGGAGCATGCCGAACCTATGTGTCAGTCCGACATACTCAAAGCGGAAAGCGTGAGTTGAAGACACCGTTTGCACGATGAAATGCATTGGAGGGCTTTCAGGATGTTGCAAACTGGGGCAAGACAATCCGCTGTTGCGAGACATCCAATTGGGCATGGTAGTGCCATCAATAAGCAGTGGAATCGTTACCATAGGGATCAAAACCTTGTAGAAGACATGAGTCCGGACACTGGAGGATTACTCCAACAGCAGATGATCACTTCCTGTTGCTATGTGTAAGAAAGACACTGTAGATCACTAATAGCACCACAGCTGGCATAACACCATCTCGAAGAAACCTTCTTTAACTATCTAGAAGGTGTCGGCTGGCGTCGCATCTCTCTGCTGATGCAGAATGGCTCATATCCTCCCAAACTGTGTCCTGTCGACTGCATGGAAGTGGACTGTACGCCCAACGACTTGTGGTTTGTGTCCTTTGTCCCCATCGCATATCAAAGCACGGTTGAATTGGGCCCATGAACATCGTAGTTGGACACCAGAGCAGTGGGGGGGGGTCATACTCTTTACAGATGAGTCTCGATTTAACATCCAGAATGATTCCTGAAGGGCAATGATATGACGAGCGCCAGGGACACGCTATGTGGCACCAAACATGATTGAAAGAGACTATTACAGAGGAGAAGAATTACTGTTACAGGGTGGGATAGCAACGAACGGACGCACCGACCTCTACGATTCCTGGTGCTTCCACCAAAGCAGACCAATACCGCGAAGAAATTCTACACTCTCTCGTGCATCCTTTTATCGCTGCAATCGGTACTGACACCATAGTTATGGACGATAACGCCCGCCATCATAGACATCAAGTGATAAGGAGTTAGCTGGAGAGTGAAACTATTCCATTGTGAAAACTACCATGGCTTGCTAGATCACCGGACCTGAACCCAATAGAAATATGTGAGGATTGTGTGACACGAGCTCCAACATGCACCAATAAAGGAATGGGCGCTCCTGCCACAACAAGTGATCAACGACATTATTACCAGCTAGCCTTGCCGTTGTCAAGCATGCTTTTCAGCTAGAGGGTATCATTCCCGTTATTAGCGTGATGTTTCCGTTGCAAATTTTTCCGACCCATTTTGTCTAAAAGTGCAGTAAGCTTTCCTTTTCCCCATTAAACAGTTCATAAGCATAAGCATATAAGCATGCATAAACACATCCGATTCTTTAAATTCATGAGAGAACTTCTGAAAAAATTTGAGGAAATGCGACACGGCTGCATAATGCGAAATTTCTAATTCCATGACATTTCCTTAATTAAAACACTGTATTATTTAAACTAACATACAGTTTGTATCAGTCCAAAAAATATACACTCACAATGCTTCAGTTTTCAGGTATTTAAACTATGCACTACAGTACTTCTCGACTTTTCATTTTTAGCTAACAAGCTCAATAAATGAGAGCATAAAACCCTCGTTAAATAAAATTTTAACACATCATCACACACCTATTTTCTTCACCCATCATTC